CCTTTTATTTTTATTTAAAACACATGATTTCCATTTTATCCATTATACTAATTAGGGCATTATTATTTTTAATTAATTAACAAAAACTAAATGAAGAAGTGTTTTGCGCAATTATTGTTTTTGCTTTTAAGTATTTTTTATTTTAAAAAATATTTTTTTTGCATTTTTTTAATAATTTTAATGTATTGATATTAAAAATAAAAAAATCTAAAAAAATTTCCTTTCAAATGAAAAATTATTTTAAAAAGAACCTTGCATCATAATTCTAAACACCTCCAACCTCCACACAAAATATTATATCAAAATAGTACTTTATTTTTTATTTTATTTTAAAATTTTATACTTCAACATTGAGTTTTGTAATTTATTTCCTATGAGATTATCCTGGTTTCGTAACTCAGGCCATGACTTTGACGGATTAATCTAGGTTAACTTGAATTTTTTATCTTTTTTTAATTTTATTATAAAACATTGGCTTGATTCATAATTAAACTTCATAATTTGTTTTGAATTATTTTTTATAAAATTATCATGTTTTCATGATCTAGGACATAAGATCGACGAGTTAATTTAAGTTAATGAGATTTTTTTTTGTCTTGTTTTTAATTAAGTTTTTTTAAATTTTATCTTTTAATATTAGGTTAATTGAAAAATGAACTTCATAATTTGTTTTGATTTGCTTTCAATATGTTTATCACAGTCAAGAGACTGTCGCTTGCAAGTTTGATAGGTTAGTTTAGGTTAAATCAAGTTGTTTTATATCCTTTTTAAGAACACAATTTTAATTTCATCATTTAAAATTAGGTTAATTGAAAATTTAGTTTTATAATTTGTTTTGATTTATTTTTATAGAATTATAACAATCTCATAACGGGTTGATTCAAGTCAATTTAATATATTAATATCTTAAAATTTAAAAATATATATTCCTGAAATTTTTTTGAGTCAAATTATAATTTTATCGGTTATTCGGATCATCTTTAGATTCATCAAATCAATTAAATCATACCGAGTTAATTGTTACAAAGCTTATTTTTTATCTTCTAGAAAACACTAGATATTTTTATGTTTTTAAAAAATTAATTCAACCCTCGGCACAATGTATACCAATAATCTGGTTTAAAGTTATCTACGCACCCACAAAAAGTTTTTTTCTTTTAATTTTTTTCTATAGCACCATAATATCAATTAAACATTAAAATTAATTGACATTAAAATTAATTGACATTAAAATTAAAAATTAAGTTAAATTATATATATTAAAAAAATAGATAAAATGGAAAGCAAAAACATAATGGTTACAAATACATTTTACTATTCATAGCTACAATGTAAATACCATTTTATCTTCTAAAAAAACTAATAGCCCCTGTCATTTAGGGTATTTTTATATTTTTGCTTGAGTCATTAGTCATTATCAGACTGATCGATGGTGAAATTGTTTTTTTTTTATTTTTTGAAGTTCAATGAAATTAACAATTTTTTATTAAAAGAAAAAATATTTGAAATTAGCATTTAGAAGCTTTTATATCATTTAAGTTTTTTAAAAAATAGTAAAATAACTCGATTATCTTTGAAAGAAAAATTTTTAAAGTTTATATTTAAACATTTTTTTGTTTTTTCACTTTATTATTAAATTGATTAAAAATAATTTAATCTTTTAATAAACATAAAATAATAATAATAATAAAATGAAAATGTGATAAATACATGCATTACATGCTCTAACACGTGGGAAGTGCCTGTAACTTTTTGGTATAGTATATGTGGTGTTTTAATAGCTAAAATTATAATTTTATCATGCTATTGAAATCATTGTGATATCTTTCTCCAAATGGGGGGTGGCTACATGATAGTAGAGCTACAATAAATAGTCATTATTTTTTTTTCCTCTTTTGATTTGCCTCTAAAAAATCACACTAACAATTCAAAATTTCATTATTGTTTTCTTAGTTATTAATATTTTAATTTTATTTTTTATTCTTTTGATTTTTATTCTTTTGTAAAAGTTTTATTTGTTTTTAATTTCATCATTCAATCCTTATTTATAATATATTATTTTCTTCAATTTAGTTCTTATTCTTTTGATTTATAATTTTTTACTATTTTGTACAATTTTATTTATTTTCAGTTTTATCATATAATCCAAATTTATGATATATTATTTTCTTTCCAATTTGGTTTTCATTCTTTTATATTTTTTTATTTTTGTTAAAGTAATTTTTCTTTTAAATTTTTTCTTTTAATTTATTTTTTATTACAATTTGATCCTTAATTTTTAATTGCTATTTTTTATTTTGAATCTTTTGATATAATTGAATTTTTTTCCTGATTTTTTCTTTTAATATTTAATTGGTTCAAGATTAGCTTTGTGGTTTTTTCATATATGGTGCTTCTAGTTTAAAGACCCAAGGGCACGAGTTTGAAAAGTTAATGCAAATTGAAGTGTTTCTAGTCTAAAGACCCAAGAGCACGAGTTTGAAAAGTTAATGCAAATTGATATTTTTTTGTAAACTTAGTTTTTTTATTTGATTTCATCATTCAACTTTATTTTTTTAATGAGTCTTATGGTTTTTTTTCAATTTATTTTCTCTCGAGTTATCCCAATATTATGACTTAAGTCATGAGTTAATTCAACTTTATTCGTCTCTAATCACCTAAGTTATATATCTATTATGCTAACTCAAGATTACTCAAATTATTTTTCTTTGTTATTTTTTTACTCAATTTTGTTTTTTTATTTTTAATTGGATGAAAATTGAACTTGGTTGTTTTTTTTTGAAAATAAGTTTTTTATCTTAAGTTATTGTCATCAAATTTTTTAATTTTAGTTTATTTATTATCATTTTTAATTTTTTATCATCTAATTAAAATAAAACCAACTTATTTTATCCAATAGAATCTCTTTGAGTCATTCTTCTTCTTAATTTAAATCACGCTTGCCCCGTATAAACATTATTTTTTATTAAAAAAATAATACTACAACCAAACGACATAGGGCAGCCCATGTCTATTTAAAACTAAAGCAAAAATGGGAAGACGTTTCCTACACGAAGGCTTTTCTTGTTCACGTTGATGTACATCCACACATTACAATTTAAATTAAGTTCCAAAATCTACAATATGGTCCTTGAAGTTCTTTTCCATCTTTGGTCTCTATAATTTTAGTTTCTTACATTTTTGTCATAAAAACTTTATTTATCTTGTGTTTTAGTCCTTAAAACTTTAGATAGAAAAGAGAAAATTGTTGGAAAGGGAGGGGATAGAGAAAGATTTTGGCTAGCTACTTCCTTCCTACAAAAAGCTAATTTTGGTGTTCATTGGTTTATATTGAAGACGATGATTTGATGGAAGTGGTTTGGACCTTTAATCATGCTTGAAAGGGTATATATAAATCTAAAAGAATGCAATTTAAAAGATATCTGGAGTTGAAAATGGAATTATTGAAGTTCGTAGAATATTTTTAGGTAATTTTATGCAAAAATAGGTTTTTCAAACCAAATTTACCAAATCTCGTGTGGACACAAATTTGAGTGCTTGAAAATTAAAAAAGCAAATGTGTATAAAATTTGAATTAAAATATATGACCTAATATAATCTTTATTTAAAATATTTTTACAAAAAAATAAAACAATCCTCTAATTTTTCCCTTAAATTTGATTTGTGATGACTTGATAAAAGTTTTACATATGTATATATATATAATAATAATAATAATAATAATAATTATGCATTGTTGCTTGCAATTTCACAAAAAACTAGTACCATTTAACTAATATTTGATTTGATCATATTAGATCATCACAATAAGTTAATATAGATATTTTTCTGATGTGAAAAAAAATATAAGTCAAATTTGGAAATTTAGGGACCAATTTTGATTGAAGTTTATCAAATCAAATGATAAAATCAATTCAACACCCAATTTAAAACAATACCCAATTTAGGGACTAAATTAGAAATTGTAAAATTTACTGTTCTGTATGAATAGTAACCAGTAACTTCGACTGGCCTGGAGGCTTTTTTCTTAGCCAAAAATGGTTGCCGTGTGATCTTATCTCAAATATTTCGTCTTCTCAAATCCAATGGTGCGATTCATTCATAATATCTCTTGATTGTTGATGAGTTATGGCTGATGACAAATTGTGGTTTCCCCCCCCCTCATCACGGTTCCCATGCATTCCCTCTTCTCTGTTAATTTCTTTCTCTTTCTTTACTGAATTGTCAACTGGGAGAGGGGAATTTGGAGGAAGTTAAAGATTGTAAGTAGTAGTTCCTTGTTGCCCTTTTTAACAAAATATTGGAAATTTGTTGCTTTTTCCGAGCACAAATTAAAGACTGTTTGTTGGAAATTTGGCACACACATAATTGAAAAGCAAGGGCAAAGGCTTTTCTTTTCCAGGAGATTTTGCCCCAGAAACTGCTCGTCCTTCTTTGAATCTGTCTCTCCACTTGTTGAATTTCTGGTTCGTACTTAAGAACACGTGAAACTGTAAATTTAAATCATAAACATGTGGTATAATACAATTTAGGTCATGAATTAAACCAGGATGTCTTTTAAGGAACCAAAGCAAACCAAACCTCTGTTTGATAATTTAATGAACAACCCTAGTCCTAATAATTGAAAAGGTACCGTAAATGTTTTGGATTGGAAAGATTTGTTCAGCTGAGAAGTACTGGAAGAGGAAAATTCTGACCATTTTCTTATCTCGTTATTTAAAGAGTTGGAAGGTTGAGGCACCAAGTTTCAGGAGTCTTTAGCATACAAATGGTGAAAGAAGTCTGCAATAATGCCATCTAAACTGATATTCGCCCATGTTCCAGCAGAGAAGACAAGCTATTACCGATTTGAAGCCAAGAACTGAGACCAGTTCATCTGCAGCTGGAACTGGACTATGTAATGGGGTACTGTAACCCTGCACAATTGACCTACCAAGCGAATCAAAGTTCCACACGAAATTGTAAAGATACTTGATGCACTCGAATCGGATTCATAGAAATGCAAAAAGGAAACTGAAAAATAACAGTTATTTATATGGTAATGAATCTTACATAACACTCATTTGAAAATACAGACATGCTAGCTGAATCGCTGAATACAAAGCACACAAGATGCTCATGATGACATGCAATTCAGTATCAATATGCCTTCGTACATAATTGCTACTAAATATTGGAAAGAAAATAAACAAAAATATTTATGATGCTGGAAGGCTTGCCCATAATACAACTGCAGCCATCCTAGTCGTGAGTTATACAGTTCCTACTAGAAGCAACTCAAGGCTCAGCCTCCCGAGGAAAAGGAGGAGCAGGAGCATTATTTCCCAAAGTAGAACCTTCATGAGAACTCGATTGAGCGGAACCTTCATTGGCTTCTTTTAACCGTTTCAGTTTCTCCAGCTGAAGCCCCCCAGCAGAAACATGGGAACTTGCTTCGCTAGATCCTTCCGTTGAACCTTTTTGCCCTCTCTTTTTCTTCACCTTTTGAGCCCAACCAACGAGGCCTGCTTGCACATGCTCCTCAAATATTGATTTCTTGAAAGTACTTCCCATCTTTTCAGAAGAAAAAAAAAAAAAAGTCAAGCTGAAAAATTTCACAAGCGAGGGCACAGTTACATTTAAACACATCGTTACCCACCTGTGAGACAATGGCATAAAGGGGAAGAGTGCTGTAGCTACAGAGTACCTGAATAAACACCCTGAATTGAACAATGATGTTTATTGATTAGCAGGGAGAGTTATTCAACCAAAGTAGTACAGGATTTCAGAGGAGAAAAGGTCAGCAGTTTCTACCCTATAATTAGCCGTGGAACAATATATTTGATTTGTCCCATTATGCAGGAATCAAAGCCATATTGAACCTGTGGATGTATAGTAGCATATTGTTATTGATAGCATCAAGTCCATCTCAGTGAATCCATGATGAAAACACACCACAAAATATCAGCTTACCCAGATCCAAAAGAAAAATGCAATTTCAAAAGCATTTTGGAAGAGGATGAAATGGATCAATAAGTGGACAAAGCCAGGCCTGTGGAACCAAAAGTGATTATCTGATGGTTGAACTACTAGTTCCCCTTCTATGGCTACATGTTTCTCAGCAACCTCATATGCCAACTGGGTAATTACATGCTCCAGCTTAGTGCCAACAGCGAGAAGAAGCTGAAAAACAATTGCTTACATGAATCTTGGAATAGGACTACCGAGACGTAGGACAGTGGAAAAATAACCCACACCAAGGTAATTGCAGTTTCTTATAGAAAGCCAATGAGCCAGCTCAATCAACAGGTGATCAACTTACAAGACTTGAGTTCAAGTCTCCTATGAATCCAAAATGTTTCTCATTGCAAGCCAAGTTTGCATAAACATGCCCATGCTATACATTCATATGAAAAACTGATTACAAGAAAATACGTGCAAGGGTGCATAAATGCAAGAAATAGTTCATATACATCATATTAAAAATTAACCATATCACTATGATGACTATTTCTATTTGGATGATAGTCATATTTGAAGTCTCATTTGGGTTAACTCACAATATTAATCTGACACCAAGGAGTAGCCAGGGGTTTGGTGCTCATGGAGATCTAAAGTTGTTTGTGGATTCATCTACATCTCTAAATGTTGGAGGGTATGACCAATGGTTTCCACTTTGAGGAAACTCCATGCATCAACCACTGTGCTATCTAAAGATCCAAACGAGTCTTAGTTAATTGTCAATAAGAAAGGTAACAACTTGTGACAAAAAAAATAAAATAAAATCTGACAGTGAAAAAAGATGCTGTCCCTGATTCAACCACAATACTATGTCCTCCATGTTCCATTAAAGCAATAACTTGTACTATAGAAGTAATCACAAAAGACATCTAAATTGGTTTATCTTCTTTTGTAACAATACCACATCTCTTAAGGATTGCATTCAAGACGGAAATCAATGATGATCAAACTAGAAAAATGCTGTTGTTTCATGCAAGTGACTGAATTTATGGCAGAAGCATTAACAAAAAAACCACACTCCAATTGGAACTCAACAAACCGGACACTCATTTAAATAATGTCAACCTTTTAGAAAATTGGGGTAGGCAGAAGCAGGTCATGTTTCAAAAACTTTTGTCAATTTAACTCTCTAAAACAAAAACTATAACATTAATGACTTGGATTCAGGAATTAGAATTCTTGTATATAGACTCAATCATGTTTATGACTTTGTATGTAAGTGATGAAAGTTTGGAAGAACTAGGGCATTGCATGTTCACTGCAAGACGAGAGAGAGAATATTTTCTAAGCATGTTTCTGCATTTTTCATCGAATCAATCTCCCTCCAGAACATCACAACATTTTGTGATCAAGTGTTTTGTGAATTAGTGTGATCTTTTTTGAGGTAGCTGAAACAATAAAGTACATTAAAACACCACAAAAACTCTTAGGAGAGGACCAAGAAAGAAGGCACATGTAAATTGGTAGAAATTGAATTAAAGAGCACAAGTCTACTCACAAATAAAGGAATGAATGCTATCCAGAAATATGTGTGCCAACCTGCATGAGAAAAAAGAGAGAAATCACATCTAACAGATATATCCCAAAATGAGCAGAGACAGCAAAAACTACATGCAACAGTTATCAGATTTCAATTTTTCCTTTGTGTTAGCAAATCTATACATGGCCTTAGGAATGCAGTCTAGAATTACAGGATTCATGCTACAAAACTCTGGTAGTCTTCCAAAAACAGTAACTTTGGGAATTTAGAAACCTTGTCTTCAATAAATTAACTTCTTCGACCCTTAAACAGTAAAAAAGACATCGTGACTACATGGTACATTTATAAACTTGCCTTGCTGAACCAACCTTCTAAGTTAAATATTTTATATATGATGACTACCACCACCTTACTAGCTATTGCCAGCAGAAATAGTGATAGATGATCCACATCACGCAGGAGAACAATAAAAAGGGACAAATCACCAGTCCAATTTCAAAAAACAAAGTATACGACTATTAATTCAATCCAATGGGCAGTATGTGGATATAAATCAGTGATCCGGAATAAGAAAGAGTGGAACAGACTTATAGTATATTCTCAGGGAAATAATAATGAGAATCAATCGAAGAAATTTAACAAATGAGTACAGAATATGTTGGTTGGTAGTTTAACAATTCAAAAGAAAAAAACTCAACATGAACACCAAAAAGGCATGATTAAATTTTTCTTGGAAGAACCTAGATTGATTTCTGTAGAGAGAACGCAAGTGTAAAATTAAAACAGGAGAGATGCAACACCACCTGACAATTGGCACAAATATCAAGTAATATGGTCTACAAATAAATCAATGGAGGAAGAGCATACCATTGATATTCAGCAATAAGAAGATGACCACGAAAACCCAAAGATACCAACTGCAGCCATGGAAATGAGTGAATAAATGAGCAAATAAATATAAGAAATGTAATTAGATTTAAGAATAAGCAAAACAAGCAGTACGAATGTCTAGCCTTAAAAAGGTATTCTTGGACATCACTTGCCTTATACCAACAACTGTCTTAAAGTCGTCTTCGAGGGAACGCACCATGTATCTGTGAAAATTAAACTTTGGGTTTCCTCTGGTATGTGTCTGCAGAACAACCAACAAATGCACAGAGAAACAAGTAATTAAATGCAACATAGGATGATGCAAGCTAATGATTGTACGACAAATCTGACCTTGCATGAAATACTTTACCATGATAAATCCTCGCCGTAAAGTTATGTAATCTGACTTGGTCACACACACATAGAATTGCTTGAAAAAGGAATCCTGAAGAGACAAACAAAAATGAGATGGAAAGAAAACTGAGATCAGGACATGGTTCCTTGAGTTGCCAAAAAGATACTGATAGTTGTTCTCCTCAAATCATTTTTAGTGGTTAACATTAAAATTATTTCCTCATGAGGAACGTGCTTTATTTTGTTTTTGATATCAAGATAATGAAAAGAAGAATGATGATTAGATTTTTGGTTAAATGTCAAAGTTGGGAAGAGCTACATTTTTCTTTGGGAGGATATGAAAGCGATAACATCTTCAGATGATGATTGCAGCAGAATCATGTTGCCAAATGACCTGCAAAATGACTTGTCTGACCAGGCAACTTTATTTGATGGCTTAAAGAAGCCAACTCCCCAACCCGCACAAATTAGACCACCCTGAGTCCAAAGCTGTTTTAGGATTCATTTCAAGTTCCAACTCATTTTTTGAACTTCCTTTTTCAGAGAATATTCTCATCTGGGGTAGGATTGTCTATATGTATTATGGGATTTCTTATGAGTATACCTTGTACAGCAAGGTTTTGGATTTGGGCTACCTCTATAAAGTAAGGCTAGAATTATTACCCAGATGACTTACCCCATAGAGAATATATATCTTGTTTTGAAATGCTTTCCATAATTAGAGCCCAGTTTGGCATAACTTTCTGAATATGAATAAACATGTCAATCCACTCCAAACTCCAAGCCGAGGCAAAGAGGTTCTTAAACCATATGATGTGATGCCTCTTAAATGTCCACAGGTCCCATTGAAAGACACTCAATGCTGAAGGGGG